TGCGCCCTTTGAATGTGACCTTGAAGTGCCCGGTCCCTATCACGGGGATGCGATTCCCCTGGTAGTCTTTGAGGATGAGCTTCTGGCTCTCCAGCTCGTGCCGTTTCATGGAGGGTACTAGCCGCTTAATTTCCCGCCAGGCGACCATGGATAGGTAAGATCCGGAGTCGACTTCCATCTTGCAGGGGCGGTCTTCGATGGCGACCTCCACGTGGACCTTCCGGCCATCCCAGTTGGAGGAATGGCCGACGATGACCGTCTGGTGCGTTTCCTCGCGCTGGCGGCTTTCGCTGAAACGGCGGCTCCTCGCTTCCCGGCTCCAACGGCTCTCGCTATCCCGATCGCGGTTCCTCGGGGGGGTGCTGTTGCGTCTGGCGTTGTCGCGTCTCCGTGGGCTGCCGCCTCGGTGGCGGGGGCTGTGGTTCCGCTTGAAACGGCAGACTTTGGCGATGTGTCCCCGTTTGTCGCAATGGCGGCAGATCGCATCAAAGAAACGGCATTCCGACCCTGGGTGCTCACCCCCGCAGCCGGCACACTGGAACTTCGATTTTCGGTTCCGTGGTTCGCGCCGGTCACGTCCCGTCTGCAGGCGATGGACGTCTTCCTCGTCGTCTTCTGATTCGGAGGGGGACTCGAGGTCGCCGTGGTGGGTGGATGTGGCCGCTCGGTAGTTGTCATCGGGTCGGTTTTCGGGAGTCGCGGTCGTCTCGGCCGTGGCGGGCCGCTCTGCGGTGCTGGCTTGCTTCAATTGGGCCGCTGATCTCCGGGTTGCCTCCGCTGCGGTGGCTTCTGCAAGGGTGTCGGCGAGGGAGATGTCGCCTTTTGCCATGATCCGGCTCTGCAGGACGGGGTCCCTGAGGCCGAGGACGACGCGGTCCCGTAGGGCTTCGTCAAGGTCGGTGAACCCGCACAGGCCCCCGAGGTCCCTGAGTTCAGCCACAAATTTGCTGACACTCTCACCTTGCTTCTGGTCACGGCGGTAGAACTCGTGCCGGCGGATGAGGGTTGGTACAGCGGGCGCGTAGTGGCTCCTCAGCAGAGGCTCGAGATCGGCCCAGTCCATGACTTTCACGTCGAGAGGCTTCGCGAGGGCTTTTGCCATTTTGAAAACTGCGGGGCCGCAGTGTGTGAGGAAGACGGCTCGTTTTCTCTGCCCATTCGCGTCCTTAAGGTTGCTACTCTCCAAGAACATGAGGAATCTGTCTATGTAAGATTCCCAGTCTTCTGTAGCTGCGTTGAATGGAGCGGGTGGCACGTTGCCGCTGGCCATGTTGCCGGTTGCGGTTCCGTGGGCCACGTGCGGTGTGGGATTTGTTTAATATCCCACCTTCGTCGCCAGTGTCGTATATCTCATACGAACAAAGGACGCGAGTCAGTGACTTGGTTCAGCTCATTTATTAGGGTAAAACACAAGTGGGGGAATGGGGGAAAAGGATGCGGTTTAAATACACTTTCTGCCGGGCGCTGCGGCCAATGGGGTCGTTTTGAATCGCCCGCGATCGGCTCAGCCAATCGCGGCCGATTCTTAACGACCAATCAGTGTTCCGCACTCAGCCAATCCGGTGGCTGTGCGCTTCGGCCAATCCGGGCTGCCGGTTTACGAGTATGTAAATGTTCGTACAGAACATTAACATTCTAAGCAGTTCAGAGAAACAGTTATTAGAAGAAATTACTGGACTAATCCTGTAAGGAAGACAGGAAGGAAACATTCTGGTGTTGCTTACAGAAACTGCCTTTCCGTTAACCCTTATTACATTCTTGGCAGGACTAGACTTCCTGTCTCTGGAACTTCTCTGGAGTTTTTTTGTCCCCTCCTTTGCCGGTACTTTGCTTGTGTGGAGTGACCATTTAAAGTTACAATGGCACTGAAAAAAGTGACGTATGACCGTTTTTCACACTTATGACTGCTGCAGCATCCCCAAAGTCATGAGAAACCAGGCGAGGAGATGCGTGCTTCTGATGTGAGTGATATTGAGTTGGCCACGCCCAGCCAGTCACGTGACCAACAAGCCACGCCCACCACTGAAGCCACGCTCACAGAACTGGTTAAAAAATTTTAATCCCACCCCTGCCTCTCTACCCCAGGGATGGTATTCAACTTTTTTTTTACTACCAGTTCTGTGGGCGTGGCTTGGTGGGCATGGTAGGGGAAGGATATACTGCAAAATCTCCATTTCCTTCCGACTCCAGGGGGAAGGTTACTGCAAAATCTCCATTCCCTCCTCACTCCACTAACCTGCTTTCCAGCTCCGTTCTCCTGTGCAGGGCAACCAAAGAAGACCCAGCCGATCAGCTGGGACTCAAAGGGAGGCAGAGAATAGATGGGGGCAGGGCCAGTCAAGGGTGGTATTTACCGGTTTTCCAAACTACTCAGAATTTCCACTCTTGGTTCTCCAGGACCTGTCAGAACTGGCTGAATACCACCTCTCCTCTACCATTTCAGACAAATGGTTATCCAAACTCTTCTTAACAACTTCCCGTGTGGGACAGAGCTGTAGAAGCTTCTTGGATGAGAAGTGAAACGTCTTCAAAGAAAAACCAAGAAAGATCAGTGGCCTCTTGAAAAAAAAAGCCCCTTTGGGACAACCCTGAGCTGGATGACTGAGAATCTCCGTGGACTTCCAGTGTGGAAGCATCCACCACTTCTGAGGGCAAAGCTTTCCATTGATTTAAGTGGGTTTTTTTTTTCTGAAAAAGTTTTATTCAATTTTCACATATTAAAAAAACATATTTTTTTCAGCGAACAGCATGATTCCAGGTTAACACATTTCCGTACAAACTTGACTTTCATTTCCTACTCACCTTTCACGATTGATAACATACCTTGACTTTACTTTATATATTTTCTTTAATTTTATTCATCTAATTCCTTCCCGCTTATTTTATGATTTTTTTTCAATTCGTTACTTAAATCTACTTCCTTCAGTTCTTCATGCCTCTTTAAATATCTTCATATTCATCATATTTAAGTGTTTTAACTGTATTTTAACGTGGTTAATTTAATAAGCCATGATCAGTTGGGTTCTCTCAAAGCTGAGTTTGAGTCGCCATGACATATTAAGCTAGAAACAAGCCACGTTTAGCGGACTAGGCGAAGCTGCTCCGTGCTGGAGTCTGCATTGCTATTCCTCATGGCGCTGCTGGCATAGAAGCGAAACGAAGCTACAGAGGCTGCCCAGCTCATAGAAATACAATTGGTTAAGTTTGTGGCTCATTGTGTTGTATGCATCAAGTTGTATATTTGGTTTACAATTAACACAATGCAGGAACCCAGCTTCACACCTTCTAGGAAACCAGGCGTCTGTAGTTTGAATGAGCACAGGTTCAGTCACTCTTCGTTTTTCTATCTCTGTGGTGACTGAATCCCATGGTAACGGCTTTTATTTCCGGTATGTAATCCCTTGTGGCTAATCGGACCATAGAGATAGAAAAAGTAGAGGTGCAGAGGTGAATAACAGAACAGAATGACAGAGTTGGAAGGGACTTTGTAGGTCATCTAGTCCAACCCCCTTTCCAAGCAGGAGACCCTACACCATTTTTGTCGTATGGCTGTCCAGTCTCTTCTTGAAAGCTTCCAGTGATGAAGCTCCCACAACTTCTGAAAGCAACTTCTGTTCCAGTGGTTGATTGTTCTCGCTGTCAGAAAATTTCTCCTTATGTGTTTGAATATTATAGCTCGGGTCAAACCAACAGCCCAATTTCTCCTTACTTCCAGGTCGAATCTCTCCTTGATCAGTTTCCATCCATTATTCCTTGTCTGGCCTACGGGCGGTTTAGAAAATAGCTTGACCCCCTTCCTCTCTGTGGCAGCTCCTCAAATATTGGAAGGCTGCTATCCTGTCTCCCATGGACCTTCTCTTCACTAGACTAACCATGTCCAGTTCCTGTAGCCGTCCTTCGTATGTTTTAGTCTCCAGTGCCCTCATCATCCTGGTTGCTCTTCTCTGCACTTTTTCTAGAGTCTCAACATCTTTTTTTATAATGTGGTGACCAAAACTGGATGCAGTACTCTAGGTGTGATCTTACTAAGGCTTTATAGAGTGGTATTTGTACCTCACTTGATCCCGATTGTATCCCTCTGTTAATACAACTTAGGATTGCATTAGCTTTTTTGGCTGCCGCTGCACACTGCTGGCTCCTATTTAGCTGGTTGTCCACTAAGACTCCAAGATCCCTGTCACAGTTACTGCTGTTGAGCCTGGTTTCACCCAGTCTATATGTGCACTTTGGGTTTTTCTTGCCTAAGTGTAGCTCTTGAACCCTCATCATTTCTGCGGGTCACCAGAAATTCATAGGACATTTTTGGAGCCTAATTCCCTCCCCGAATTAAAACATAGTCTTGTCGACGCCAAAATGCAATTTAGAAAGACTTTATTAAATTTGGACGAAAGAGAGATCTGAAGAGAAATAAAGCAGGGTGCGGTATAAAAAGAACGATTAAATCAAGTAGCTTCTACAATGCCTATATGGAATCACTATAAGCCAAGGTCCGTTAACTTGCGTTCCGAGAGCGTATGGATCTTCATGTGCGTTAAAGCCAAAGACGAGAGAGAAAGAAAAATAAAATATACCTGCTAGTGCTTTGAGGTAAAGGGGGAGTGAGGGGGGGAGGAGGAGGAGGAGGAAGAGGAGGAAGGCTGAAAGGAAGTGGGGGAAACCCCCACCAATCAGAAGCTGGCAAGAACGTGCTGGTTGAACCTTCCCGAAAAGAGAGGGGGGGCTCCCTCATCCTTGCCGAGGTGAGAAACCAAAGGTGGTAGGCAGGTTCACTCTGGTAGAGCCTTGACGTGGCATTTCCGACTAGGCCTTCTCACGATGCCAAGTTCACAGCTGCCCTTGGGCCACAGGCGTCAGCAAAAACTGCCCAGGTGCATCCCTGCTGGGCATGTGCCATTTTCCTGATAGGGGGCAACGCTTTAGGACGGACCCAAACTCAAAGTCCATCCCATGGCCGCAAACTTTCCCTCTTCAACGTCCGTAACTCAAACGCCAGGCCCCCACATCCACACCCTGAGCGGCTTCAGGAGGGTGTGGCGAGAATCAAAACGGGCAGGAGCCCCCGGCAGTTTCTCTTACGCCGATGCGACCGCTTTGTAAGGAACAAACCTTGGTCGGAGCCAGAGCTAGCCGAAATGTTCACATTGAACTGGTTATAGCGTACATGCAATCCAAGCGTGAGTTAAATCAACTCACTTAAAATATAATCCGTTTTCTTTTTTTTATTTAAAAAAAAAGAAAGTCTAAGAGGTAAGGAAAAGGAAACCGAGGAAAGGAAAAAACCACGATGGCCATAGAGACAATGTCCTATTCACCCATCACATGATCGGTCGGCTTCTCCAAACACACACCGCTGTGTTGTTCCAGCTGTCCGTTAAACGAGAAGGAAGAGAAGGGACGGCGCATACCTGGCGGACAAAACAAAATCTATTCAAGGTGAGGGAAGGACTTTGGGCCTTCTCTTTCAAACGAGTCTGTTCATGCAGGAGGAGTTTTTGGTTTCTGAGCGAAGCGCTTCCCATCAGAGTGCTCAAACCATTTGTCTCCGGGCGTGGATTTTTTCATGCTTGTGAAGGTTGGAGCGATGGCCGAAGCATTTGCCGCAGACCATGCAACGGTAGGGGGTCTCCTTCGTGTGGGTCCTCTGGTGCGCGACATAAGCCGATTTGTCCCGGAAACTTTTGGGACATTCGGGGCACTGGTAGGGTTTTTCTCCCGTATGGATTTTCTCGTGTTGAACCAGCCCGGCGTTCTGAGAAAAGCTTTTCCCGCACGCCCCGCAGTGGTACGGCCTCTCTCCGGTGTGGGATCTTCTGTGCTTCCTAAGAGAAGACGCGTCGCCGAAGCTCTTCCCGCATTCCACGCAAACGTACGGTTTTTCCCCCGTGTGGATCCTCTCGTGGACAATGACATTAGCCCGGTGCCGGAAGCTCTTCCCGCAAACCGAGCAAGGGTAGGGCTTCTCTTCCGTGTGGATCCTCATGTGGACGTGGTAAGCCGAGGTGTTTCGGAAGCTCTTCCCGCAGACGGGGCACTCGTGCGGTTTCTCTCCCGTGTGGATACGCTGGTGCCGGATGACGTCGAACTTGTGGGCGAAACTCTGTCCGCAGTCGACACAATGATACGGCTTCTCTCCCGTATGTGTCCTCTGGTGAGCCAAGAGCCCGCTTTTCTTGCTAAAACTGTGTTCGCAATCCGGGCATGGGAAAGCCTTCTTTGGCACGTGGCTTTTTTCGTGGGCCGTCAGCTGCGAGCGCTGGCTGAAACTCTGCCCGCATTTGGAGCAAATGAAGGGTTTCTCTCCCGTGTGGATGCTCTGGTGGGCCACCAGCACGTCTATCCCCGAAAAGCTCTCGCCGCAGTCCCAGCAGGTGTATGGATTCCCCACCGAAGCTGGAAAAGACACACAGTTGCCTGCTTAACTACTCTGGCCGGTTTGGGACTGATCTGTGTGGACATGCCTTTCGTAGGATCCAATCTGACTACCCTGTTTCTCCAACAATACGGCCTCCCCCAATAGGAAGTCCCAGCATGTTTTATAGGCAGGAAATGAAATTAAGCCCCTCCCCCCCAAATTAAGGCCTATATTAAAACATGCAAAATGGGGGGGGGAAATGGCGGGGGGGGCTTGCCGTTAGGAAGTACTTTTGTTGAACACCCGGATATGGTTTTGCCTGCATTGACCCCGATACGAAGTACCCCGCCAACGCCGAGGTCAACCTCCAAGCCGTTGCCGCCCACCCGCCTGAAGATGCAAGGGGGGCGGGAATTAAGTCACCCCCCCCCCCCGAAAAGACGGCCTAGCCATTTTTTCGGGGCTCAAAAAAAAATAAAAATAAGACCCGGCCTTATTATATGAGAAACACGGTAGTTGGAGAATTTGGCTGGGAAAATTATTGTTTAATTGTATGAACTGGCGTTTGGGAAGCTCAGAGTTCGTTTTACTTCGACATTATCATGCCGTGCATTCGATAAACAGTAAGATATTCAAAAACAGGAATGAACCAGGGGTTTTATGTAGATTCTCAACATTGGATGTTGACAGATGCATTCTGTACTACTCTCAGCAGGCAATTCACCTAGAATTGGGGAGGGGGAATTCTTCACTTGCCCCAAAGGCCTCTGAGCGGCTGCTGAAATAAGGAGAGGCGCCTCATAACGTGGCTTTTGTCTCCGCTAGGGAAGCAAGGCTGGGCGGGGGGCCTTCCCAAGGAAAGACACGGACGCCAGTCAGGCCGCTTGGTAGTGCTAGCTCAAGCCTTTTTTTGTAATTGGGCAATGCCAGGATGGTCTCAGAGCACAGGGGAGGCTCTAGGAAAATCCACCCGGCTCAATCCTGGCTTCTTTAACCAAACGGAATGTCAACTAATCGGCAGCTCAAACAGACGGATGGCATCCAAGGTACTTTAAATGGAAACGGACGTTTCGTGATCCCAGAGAAGGGAAGTCAACATTCCTGGAGGTCTGTAATAAAGCGAGCGCAAGAGCGACGCCGCAGCATCACTGGAATAGCTAGGAAACCTGGGGAAGATTTCTGCCTTTGATGCTAGCCTTTTTTTGTTTTTTAAACCTTTTCGCTTGCTGTTTTTGGGTTGAAAGGCTGGGAAATCCTTACCCATTAAAGGGACGTCCTCTTCTTTGTTCTCCCTGAACATCGGCCATTCGCTCGACTCCATCGGCGGCCCTACGGTCCCATGGAAATCCACAGTTGCCTCTTTGAAGGGCCAGAGACCCTAAAAAAAACAGCCAGACCCAACAGCAACAGTAGCAGAAGGGAAGGAGTGAGAGGTGAGGAGGATCTGGATTTTCCCGCCAGCCTAGCTGCACACCCGATCCCCAAACCCACACCTACTAACTGGGAAAATAACCGTCTGTCTACATATATATAGATCGGGGGAGTCAAAGTCAATTTATTGAGGGTTGCATCAGGGTTGTGTGTCACCTTGGGGCGGGGGGACATGGTTGTGGGGCCGGCTCAATGTCACTGGCTCAATTTTTGCTGGCAGAGGGGCTGCCGGAGGCCATCGCGGCTGAAAATGGAGCACAGGTAGGCCACGCACAGGCTCCGTTTTTCATTGACAGAAGGCTGCAGGAGGCTATTGTGGTTAAAAATGGAGCCTCCTGCGCTCCATTTTTGCTGACAGAGACCCCGCAGGCCAGTCCATCGCTCTTTCCAGGGTGGCCACGCACGCCAAATCTGTTCTTCGTTACCAATTAACTGTGGGGATTCACTTGAGAACCCTGGCAAGGAAGGTCGTAAAATGGGGGCAAAACTTACTTAACAACTGTCTCTCACATAACGGCAGAAATGTTGGCCTCAATTGTGGTCGCTAAGTCAAGGACCGCCTGCATGGTCTAGGGCAGTGATGCTGAACCTTTTTGTTGTGGTGTGCCAAAAGCGCGCGCGCCCCAGCACCCACGATGCAATGCACCCTCCCCTGCGCATGCGTGCGCCAACACACACCCCGCCCCCTTACCTGCACTGTGCATGCACGTGCCTCCCAGCTGGTTTTCGGCCCATTTGAAGCCTCCCGGAGACTCGAGGGAAGCCTCTGCAGCCTCGGGAGGCTGAAAATGGGCCCATTTCGGCACTTCCAGTATTTCCAGAAGGCCCGTTTTTCGGCCTCCCGAGGCTGCAGAGGCTTCCCTTCGAGCCTCTGGGAGGGCGAAAACGCCTCAAACAGGCCGAAAATCAGCCGGGAGGCGCAGACATGCGCAGTGCAGGTAGGTTTGGCTGGGGCTTGTGTGCCTGCACAAATGGCTCTGCGTGGCACTGTGGCACGTGTGCCATAGGTTCACCATCACGGGTCCAGGGTTTCTGTGGCTGAATTTGGAATAGGACTCCCTATTACACTAAACGCCAAGAAGCCTCAGAGAGCACAGTCCAGGCTTAAGGCTGGAGCCGAGGAACATCTGGATAGCCTCATTACAATTACCCTCCTTTTCAGATATTGGGCAAGGGCCCTTCTCAAAGCTAAAAGAGGGCAAGAACTGCTTGATGACCTCTGATGTTGAAAACCTGCACTCTGCTGCTGTAGCGGTAGTCCTCCACTCACATCAGTTCACCTAGTGAGCGTTCAAAGCTACCACAGCACTTGAAAAAAGCGACTTGTGACCACTTTTCACAGCATTCCCCCAGTCATGTGATCAAAATTCCAAGACACTTGTCAACTGACTCATAGTTATGTCGTGGGGTGATGTCATCCAGGGGTGGCCTTCAAAATATTTAGCAAAGGGTTCTCTGGCCGGTTGCTGGGTGGGCGTGGCCTAGTTGGCCTCGTGCACCATGGGGAGGGGGGCTGTTTTTGTCCTCCCTGGGCTCCGGAGGCTTTCCTCAAGCTTCTGGGAGGACGAAAACGGCTTTCCCGGGGTCTCTGGAAGACGGAAACAGGCCCGTTTCTGGCCTTCCGGAACCTCTCGGAGGCCTGTTTTGTCGCCCTCCCGGAGCCACCGCACAGGCCCTGCACTTAACTGGGATCCAAAACAAGCGCATGGGGAATCCTGGGAGGGGCGGGGTGGGGCCAGCCAGGGGTGGGATTTGCCGCTTTGCCGAACCGCCAATAAAAGGAACTACCGGTTCGCTTGAACCGGGGCGAACCGGTAGCACCTGCCCCTGAGGTAATTCTTTTTCGCGACCTTTTGGCAAGCAAAGTCCATGGGGAAGCCAGATTCACTTAACGTCCCCGAGGCAAACGTAACAACTGTGGCAAGAAAGGTTGCAAAACGGGGCAAAAAAAAAATTCACTGAACGCAGGTTTCACTTAGCAACAGAAAAGTTGGGCTCCATTGTGGTCGTAAGCCGAAGACCCCCCTATACTTTTCTACGCCTGCTCCTTGGCTGATTTAAATTTTTGCCGTTTGAAACATTCCAACGCTGGGTTCTTCCTGATTTATGGGAAACAAGCCCTTGAAAACTCGGCAATTCCTAATCCTGAATTGAAGTGGTATCTTTCCTGGCTCTGCGCAGTTGCATTAATCTTCCATTCCTGCAATTCCAAACAAATTCCAAACATTCTGGAGAGACTGGGCCTTCCCGTCTGAGGGTGGGGGGAAGCAAACATTTTCAGCCTCTCTTGCCTGTCTGGAATTTGAAAGCATTGCACAAAATGGCTGATGAAGCAAGGCCTTTCTTTAACGGTCTCAAAATGGCAGCCAAAAGGCCCAGGGAACTTAACAAGCCATTGAAGAGATGGTTTTTTTTCCCAAGCTCTCTTTTTCTTTTTTCTTTTCAAACGGGCATGCAATTTTCCAAACTGAACACTCAGGCATTTTTTTTTTTGGGGGGGGGGGGGAACGACACATGAAAACAGTCTGAAAAAAGGTTACAGGTAGTCCTCAACTTACGACAGTTTGTGCCTTGTGCCTTGTGACCGTTTTTCACACTGACGGTGATTTGCGGTGTGCACCTGGTCACGCGCGATCGGAATTCGGATGCCTGGCGACCGACTCAAATTTATGACGGTTGCAGCGTGCTGGAATTGCAAGATCCCTTTTTGGCGACCTTGTGACAAGCAAGGTCAGTGGGGCAGCCAGATGGGCTCAGCGACCGTGGTTACGCACTTCACAAGTGCAGCGATTCGCTTTGCAACCGCTGGCAAAGTAGCTCGTGAAGTGGGGCAAAGCTCATTTCACAAATGTCTCGCTTAGCAGCAGAAATTTGGGGGCTCAACTGTGGTCATAGGTCAAGGACTACCATTATAAAAACATTTAATTTTGCCTGGAGGAACAGGAAGGGGGTGAGGAATACGCTCAAAATTGGCCCAACCTGATTCTCTTAGGTAGAAGAGGAAGAAAATAGCCGTTAGATTATTTAGATTTTGTTATGATGTTTTGACTAGATCTGTGTTTCTCAGCTTTAGCAACGTGAAAGTGTGTGGACTTCAACTCCCAGAATTCCCCAGCCAGCTATGCTCTGCTGGCTGGGGAATTCTGGGAGTTGAAGTCCACACACCTTCACATTGCCAAGGTTGAAAACATTGCGGTAACCTGCTGTTCCTCTCCAATCAAATTTGGGTGGCCACGCTTGATGTCGCTCGCCGAGCCTCCGTTTTCCCAGTTCCTCCTTCCCAACCCCTCCTTCTCACCTGCCGTTCCCCCTGCTCTGTCCCTTGCTGACGTCCCAGGAAATTCTCAGCCAGGCTAACCGCTTGAAAGCAGGTCTCTGGATGCCCGGCTCGGACCCAGTTCTGCATTTCTTCGGGCAAAATGGACAGGAACTGCTCCAAGATCACCAGCTCCAGGATCTGGCTTTTAGAACGCCGCTCCGGTTGCAGCCAGCGATGGCAGAGCTTCCACAGCATGCCGCAGACTTCGCGGGGACCCTCGGCGTCCTGGTAGCAGAACTGCCGGAAACACTGGCGTTCAATGTCCAGGCTGGCGCCGGTCACTTCCAGGCCCTCTTCCCCAACCTCTATGAACTCAGTCTTGTCTTTCGCGCAGGCGCTGTTGACCAACGGCCGGGCTTCTTCGCCAATGTGCAAGAGGGGCTGGATTATCCTGTTCTGCCGGCGATGCAGGCCGACGTCGGTGGTTTCCTCCAGGGAGGAGAGTTCGGCCTCCGAATGGACGCTTCCTTCCACCTTCAGCAGCTGCTCATTCCCTGCCTCAGAAACCGGGGACTGTTTGCCTATCATAAACTTCTCTTCTTCCACTTCCAAGCAACAGTCTTCCGGATTGGCCGCCGGCTCCTGCTTAATGGCTTCCGCCGTTACTCTTTCCGCGGATTCTTTGGCTCTCTCCGAAGGAATCCTGAGAGGCCTCTCCACCACTTCCTTCTTGGGTTCAGCTTCTTTCTGGACCTCGACTTTCAGGCCATCTTCCACACTGGCATCTAGCTGGAGACCCAAGCCAGCCGGGTTTCTGTGTTCCCCTGCCATCGTCGCTTCTTAATGCTTAATCTGGCCGGGGATCGGTCCTGGGAAACTGTTCCTCGGGGCGGGGAGGGATGCTGGTCTAGGAATTGGAGACGGGTTCGCAAGGAAGCGTTCTGGCCTGGAATTAAAAAAGATAAAAAAAATAAATAATCCAAGGGAATGATATAACCCCGTGGTGGCAAACCTATGGCACCCGTGGCAGAAGTGGCACGTAGAGCCGGCTTCGCTGGGATGAGAGCCGTTGCACCAGAGCAGGTCCACTGAGCGTGCATGCCCGCCGCCCGCCCGCCAGCTAATCGTTGGGTAGCTGCCACGCATGTTGGGGGACCGCTTGGGAGACGCGCTTTTGGCATGCGAGGACGGAAAAGTTAGCCATCGCTGGTATAACCAAGAAAGGAGACTATTTATAGCTCAGGGTTGAAGTGAGGGGGTGGCTTGGCGCTCTCTGAGTTTTGTTTGTTTTCTTGCAGACGTTTTTATTACCCAAACTAGGTAATGCATCGTCAGTGCTGGTAAGGAGTGGGGTTTGCTGTCAGTTTATATTTTGGTTTCTTGCCTGTCTGGGTGGGACGGTCTTAAGGGATTCCTTGGTTGGGCCAGTGTTGACTAACCTTTTGGGGCACCTGTGCCAAAAATTGTGTGTGGGCTCGCAAGCGCTGCTTGCATGCCAGCAGTCAGAAGGCAATGTGTGCGTCCCCCCCATGTCCTGTGCATGCATGCGCAATTCCCCCACCCTTCCTCCTTACCTGCACCGCACCTCCCAGCTGATTTTCGGCCCATTGGAGGCCTTTTTTGGCCTCCCAGAGGCTTGAAGAAAGCTTCTGCAGGCCGAAAAAATGGGCCCGTTTCATCACTTCCGGTATTTCCGGAAATACAGGAAGTGACAAAACGGGCCTATTTTTTTTGGTCTCCAGAAGCTTTCCTCAAGCGTGGTGCAGAAAAGGTTAGCCATCATTGCTCTACCCAAACCAATGGACAAAAGATGGCTTAATATTCAATAGAAATTTATTAATTTCTACGAGTAGATTGTCATAAACTAGCCTAGGGAAGAGACAACTAAAATTGGAGTAACCTTTCAGAATTTGCAACTTAAGAAGATTTGAACACACTGGTTTTTTCAATCCGAGATCTCCCAATCTGATTTGTGCTTGTATCATCCCAATAATCGTTAATTAATATTGATACCCTGAGCACGAAGCCAGTTATTGTTATACAGTAATACAGTTATACAAACTGAAGCCAGTTATTGTTCTGACCCAACCTTGATCTGAGGAAACAAACACCAAACAGAGGTAACAGCAAAACCTTTTAATGATTCTTTACGAATTCCGTTCCTTCCCGGTTAAAAGGCTGTTTCAAACTAATTGTCTCTGATGAGAACGAGCCTTGCCAAGGTTGTGCAAGGCTGCCAAGAACACTACATAAAGTTTCCAAGAAATATTTCAAACACAAAAAGTCTCCAAACACCAACCAAGATATTCCGAACATCCACAAGGCTTGAGGGCAAAACCTTCTTTGCTTCCTGCAAAGAACTCCGGTTTCTCAGCTGGCTTTTATCTCTTAAGGGAGGGGCCATAACCTTGCAACCTTACTCCCGAGTTGCCTGTGCTGCTGCAGCTGCTCTTTCCTTCAAGCAGCCCTGCGTGCACATGCAATTGGGCGCAGGCTCCTCGGGAACCTCTTCATCATTGCTGCCAGCTCCACAATCTCCAAAGGCAGCATTCCACTCCCTGATGGTCCTGGCCCCATCCCTGCATCACACGCAGGCTCCTCATCTGAGTCCTTGCTCTCCGAGACCTCAGCCGTCCGCACCTGCTGCTGGCGAACCACAACAGTTATAGAGATATGGCATTGTTACCCAAGGTTTTTGTCAATTAGGCTGATAAACAGAGGCGGCGGACTTTGAGGAGGTACTCATAGGATTACTTTTCCGATCTGTGTGTACATATCTGCCTTTGCCTCTCCCGCATCACTTTCCAGACAGGCTGTAATTCCTTTTTTTTTCTGAAAGAAACAAACTGGCTATTGTTCAGACTCTGTGAAAGACTAGGGAAGGAAATATTTGGAGAAACCCTGACCTAGTGAAATCAAGTTGCAAGTATTTCATCGTATAGGAAATATCTGAGATAAATACCAAAGGAAATGTTCACACCCGGGAGCAACAGATCGTTGCACAGAGAGTCCTCGACTTACAGCAGTTCATTTAGTGACCATTCAAAGTTACCATGGCCCTGGAAAAAAAAAAAAGCTCTTAGGATTGTTTTTCACACTCAAGACCCCAAGTGAGCCAGGCGAGTTTTGCGCCCTTTTACAACCTTCCTTGTTTACTGTTGTTAAATGAATCACTGCGGTTGTTAAGTTAGTCACACGGTTGTGAAATCAATCTGGCTTCACCCGTTGACTTTGCCGGTTGACTGCGGGATCTCGGGAGACAGTAACAGTCATCAACACGAACCACTAGACACAAGGGCAGTTTTTTCCCCCGAATGCCATCACTCTGCTAAACAACTAATTCCCACAACACTGTCAAACTATTTACTAAGACTGTATTACTATTCTTCTACTCATCCTTCCTATTACCTATCTCTTCCCACTTATGACTATAACTGTATTGCTTGTAACTTTACGATTTATATTGTTTTATTTGTTCCCTAATATGATTTGATCGCTTATTTGTATCCTCTATGACTATTATTAAGTGTCGTACCTGACGATTCTTGACTCTTGACAAAAGTATCTTTTCTTTTGTGTGCACTGAGAGCATTTGCACCAAGAAAAAATTCCTTGTGTGTCCAATCACATTTGGCCAAAAAAAAAAAAAAAGAATTCTATTCTATTCCTATTCCGTTCTATTCTAATTACCAATCATAGGAATTTTGATCACGGGACCAAGAGGATGCGGCAATGGTGGTTAAGTGTGAAAAACATAGTCCCTTTTTTTTTTCAGTGCCGTTGTAAACTTTGAATGGTCACTAAATGAACTGTGGTAAGTTGAGGACTCGCTGTACTGGAGCAGCTGGTGCAGAAATCAGATTGCAGACTGCCGGTCCGATCCACTGGTTTTATGCACCTGCAAATGGCAGGCAGGCTGGACAGACTTTTAGGAAGGGAAGCAAGAAGATTTTATAAAAAAGGGAAACTGGAATTTCCAGAAGGCTGAGTTGCTCACCAAAACTGGGCAAGGGAAAGGAGAGAGAGAGAGAGAGAGAGAGAGAGAAGGAGGGAGGGAGGGAGGGAGAGGGAAGATAGAGGGGAGGGAGGGAGAGAGAAGGAGTGGGAGAGTGGGGAGAGAGAGTAAGAGAGGGGGAGGGAGGGAGAGGGG